TCTATCCCCACCTCTATCCCCACCTCTATCCCCACCTCTATCCCCACCTCTATCCCCACCTCGATCCCCACCTCTATCCCCACCTCTATCCCCACCTCTGTCCTCCGAGCAGAACGAGGAGATGAGTCAAACACGGGGCGGAAAATAACAAGCCATCACCCTCACCAGCTTCTGTGTGATCCTGAAGATTTATAAGCGCCCTGAGGGGAAACACAATCAAATAAAAGTGTCAGCATCCCCCTGCATGCAGCTGCGGATAACGCGCTGAAAAATAATTCATGCTTTATTGCCGGGCTGATGAGCGTTTGCAAGTGTCACATAAAAAGAACAACGGGGGGAGCGGTGCCAAACAGCTGGGATATTGTCTGCAGAGATGTAGAATACTAAACTGCTCTATTCAGCGGCGCACAGGGAAACAAAAGCAGACCGAAGTACAAAAGGTAACGCCATGTCTGAGGGCTGCAGCTTTGTGTCACCTGCACACATTTCTGAGGGAAAAAAAATCACCACTTGTGCTCGGCTGAGTTCAATTGTGCATTCATGCCACAGGAATCACAAGCAAGCCAAACATTTTACGGCTACGCTGACTTTCAAACACGCCGACTAAGACTCGGAGTGATGCGGCTTCAGCAGGGCGCCGGACATGCACCCTGGCTGAGAAAATCAGACATCAAATAAACAGTTCATTAGGATACTGCACTCGTGGCGCTACGATAAAATTGATTTCAGCGTTTTGCTTAACTGAGTAACTAATCTCCCGTTTTCTAGCCATTTCTGCTAATTACAAAGCCAGGAAACGCTGACAGGGGAGATATGTAATTGGACCTGAAAAACGATTAGCGAAAAAGCTTATGAAATGATATCACTTTCATACACTGCTTGCCTCAATTTCTGGGGCGACTGAGGCAGTGTCTGTGTAAGGAACTGCTCGTAATAGCATTTAAACAGACATAAATGAGCCTCTAATTGCGCTTTTCTCCGTGCCTGCAGGTCACATGAGGCGGTGCGGCGGAGCTCAGGCGCAGTCAGACAGCATTAATACATTAAATCCACAGCAGAGCATGCAGGTAATCCATTACCTATCCCACAGGAGAGCTTCCAGGGAATATCAATCTAGGCAATTAGGGGAAAAACAATAAACTAACATGCAAGTATAGCAGTTTTAATCTATGGAGCCTTATGAGAGGAGCATAACTCAGAAAGTCTGCCAGACTCATTAAAAGTCCATTTGCAGTGAACACCTGCAGAACAAACAGGGGAGCGAGGCTGGAGACGGAGTACAATGCAGAGCGATGCCTCTCATTGGCTGGTCTTGGTTAATTATCCTCGTAAGGAAAAGCAGAAGCTGCATTGGCAAACTGGCGAGGAGATTTGGAAAGCTTTGGCTCAGCTCACTGAGTAACACGGCTCATCTCATGTTGCACTGAGTTCAACAAGCCAGAGAGAAATACACTTACTCACTGCTGCCATGCAATCATAAAAAAGAAATCAGATACAGAAGAGGATGTTCTCATGGATTAACAGTGTGTTCCTTTTTTAAAACAGCATTGAAAATCACCGTAAGCAGAAATCAAACAACCTTAAAAAGGCACAGGATAGAGAAAATCAGAAATAAATGAAGATGGAATGAGAAGAAGGATGAGAGATGCCCTAAGTGGCTGGAGGCTGCAGGACCTACCTGCCCGGCAGCTCTGCCCTCCATCCCTTCTGCTACTCAACCGTTTAGTTTCCATTGTACAGGAGGCACAATCTGCTGGAGAGGAGGCTGGGGTCGCCTCCCAGCTCGCTCCTCGGCAGCTGCCTGCTGCCTCCTGCTCGCTCGCTCGACTGAGTGAGAGTGAAGACGGGGAGAGGGGAGTGTAAAGGGAGAGGGTGAGGGAGTGGGTGTCACAAAGAGAGAGAGAGAGGGAGGGAGAGTGCTGTGCGAGCACAAGTCTACCTGCCACAACCCATCAAGCCAGCCAGCCTTGGAGACAGCGCCAAATCAACAGCTGGCCCCCGTGTGATGTCAGAGCCGAACAGCCAGTCAGAGCAGCCGTGGCCGGACGGCACTACGGAGCCGACTGAACCAAAGTCACCGGCTAAATGGGGCTCTTCATTAGCTACTCTGCTTTAGGATGGAGGCGGGGGGAGGAGGAGGAGGAGGAGGAGGAGGAGGAGGAGGAGGAGGAGGAGGAGGAGGAGGAGGAGGAGGAGGAGGAGGAGGAGGAGGAGGAGGAGGAGGAGGAGGAGGAGGAGGAAGAAGAGGAAGAAAGGGCAGCCAGGGACAAGGGATAGATGGAAGGAGAGTGAGAGGAAGAGGAGAGGGAGGCAAGGCGCAGAAAAGAGTGGAGAAGAGAAAGGACAGGATCGACATGTCGGCGGTCAGCTAGGTGCTCAAAGAGCAGGTGGAGAGACGATGGGGAGGCGCTGGCCGCTGAGAGGCCGAGCTGTTCACTGGGCTACCTTCCCATTAAAGCTGGCACCCTGCGCTCCACACATGAAGGCGAGCTACAGCCAATCCCACAGAGCCACCACCTGAAACACCACCCATTACTGAAAGCAGAGGAGGAGTAAAACACTGCAATAATATTGAGCTTTAGGCAAATATCACATAAGCTTATTGGTGGATCAAAGAGAAAACAATACACTGCTGCATGAGGAAGAAGAGCAGCTGCTTGTGCGTGATCAAACCGCACCCCTCACCTCCTCTGTTTGATCTCAAATCTGACTTTGGAGGATTGAATAGGAAAAACAAAAGGGATCAGCCTCCACAAGAATTCACTTGGCTTGTTTATTTCATTAAGGATCGAATATCTTACACGACATCGTGATAATTGAGCTTTGGGAATAATTGACTTCATGAAGCACTCTCCTCACTAAGTGACAGACAGGCTGTCAAAGACATAGGAAGTCACACACCGGTCCTATGCAGCTGAAGTCTAGACTGCCATAATGGGATTGTTTTTGTCCTTTCAGTCACTCAGACTTTAACAGCAAACACAGTGGGCGGAAAAGTTCCTGCTGTCACTAAGCAACCAACACTAGACTGCGACAACCGATCCGATGCGATCCTGCCTCCTGTACCATTCGTTATGCCAGGTCTCTGAAGAATGTATTATTGTGCTTCCTTAATCCCATGAAAAGGTCACCAATTGAACAAACAATTTATGGATAGGCGGATGAATTATTTAATGGCCCAGACCAAATATTATCGGAAAGAGAGATTTTTCCCCCCTGGAAGGCGATGAATTATTTAGTCATCGGGGCCACATTCGGTGAAAGCCATTACACAGCATCCTCAACCTCAATATCTGATAATGTCATCAGCTCCGAATGTGCCCTAACCTGCGTAATGAACGGTCAACAGAGTCTCCGCTGCAGAAACAGTTATGGTAAACAATTATTAGCGTTTATTTTAAGCCTGGGAGTAGCGTGCCACAGAGTGTACACCACCACAACCAGAGCTTTGATTTAGTGTACCTCCGAATGCACAATACATCACCCAGCAGGTAAAACAGACGCTGATATGTTTGAGGGATAACCATATCATCCAAATGTGCACAATCAGATTGAGGGATTCTCAATCAGCAAACACACAACGACTTATTATGGTCGTAAATCCCTGTAAAGTGTACACACACACACACACGCACTCTCCTGTAAACCAGCAGCCGCAGGGACGGAGCACTCTCCACCCACCAGGCTCCGCTGGTACCTTAATGAAAAAGATACTATCATGATGCCTCAGTGGTGGCTTTCAGTGCCATCTCCAGCAAAGATGAGGTAATAATTGCCTGGGTTAATGCATAGGAATTATAATGGGTTATTTATTACACAAGTACTAACATGAGATGTTTTATTTATGGCATTTTTACGAGAATGAATGTAGTTCAAGTCAGGTTTCAAGGTCCACTTTTATAATCTATGTGACAGTAATGGAGTTGCACTATGTTTTAGAACTATACTACTATTTTAAAAACATGCATTAAATCAACACTTGGTGTTGATGATGTGCACAGCTCCACTGCATCATTCATTGATTAATATTATTGTAAGCAACAAGCCTTGGATACAGGGGGAGTGAATGACATTAATGCATTTTATTTATAATTAATAGAAATATAACATTAACACTTATCTCCCTTATTGAGAAAATAAGCTGCTTTGGTTATCTTGTCAGGTAACGTTAACTGCGCAGCGTTTTATGTCAATTATTAATACGTGGGCTATATTAATACGGGGGACATTTTTTCTATGCTTCCATAACGATGAAGGAAATATCCAGTTATCTATCCACCACAACGACAAGATATGAGTATTAAAGGTGTGAGGATAAATCGAAAGTATGTTCATTTTAATGAAATGAAAACAATGCAATTTAAATGCTACTTTTCGGTGGCTATTGCTAAACCAGACTCCATTACAAATGTGGCAATTTTAATGTTTCCTCTGTATCGACCAACCGACAAACTACGGACAACAGGTGACTTTTTAATCTGAACATATATGCATGTAACAAAAAATCGGCGTGTAAAACAATAACAAAAACAGCAAAGCAATGCAATTAAAGCTCATTTTATTGAAATGGCATGCCGCATCTTAACGGGAGAGAAACAGCCGAAGCAGGCCTAAAAGTTATTAAATTCTGCTGTATTATTTAACTACTAATGCACGCTTTTTTCCGAATAAAGCCGAATTTAAGAGTGTCCTCTAACCATTTCGAGTCCACATTTGCGTGCAAGGTGTGTGCTTTTGCAGCAGCGTAAAAAGCAACATTATATCAGCCACATTTTTGGCCTGCCACTGGGGCTTGAAATCGGCCAAACACCGGTGTCATGCACGAGCAGGAGACATGTTTACTGCTAACTAGCTCATGAAAACAGCCACCCTTTCGGTGTCTTTTCCTCCAATAATTGTTGCACATGATACTGCAGATATCTAACGTTGCCTTACCTCTTTTGGTTAACACAGTTGAGTCTCTTCGGAGGGAGAAGAAGCGAAATGAAGGAGAGAGAGCAAAGCCTGGTGCGTCAGATCCTTACGTCGGACACGTAAGGGTGTTGAAAACATGACACGTTTTTGTCGTTGCTGGATTTTTTTGTGCGTAATGGCACTTTGCATGGAAATTATCCAACTAATATCCTCCTGAGGAATGCAAAAACGTCTTCCAATTTCCTATTTTAGCCCTAAATTACCTATTTAGGGTTTAAAAATATCTGCTGGGTAGCTTGTGAATTTCTTCCAGGAGTCACTACAGTCTCATTTAAGTGTTGTTTATATTTAACATCATTAATACAAATCTGCACACGTATTACATGTAGTGGAGTGAAAGTACACTATTTACCTCTGAATTGTAGTGAAGTCGAGGTACAAAGTAGCATAACATGAAAATACTCAAGTAGTATCTCAAAATAGTACTTTAGTACATGAGTAAATGTACTTAGTTTCTTCCCACCTCTGCGTAATGGCACTAAAAACATTATATCGCTTCTAAAAAATGCTAAAAGTTAACATTTGTAGGTAAATGTCATTGCATTTGTTTATAAAGCTACAGGAAGTTGCATGCGTGATGACGTCACGTGCAGCGGATGCTAGGTGACCTAAACAGAGACATTTGCCGGGAAACTTTCTCCTGTTTCAGTCCAGATTAAAGTGACTCCTGCGGCTGTTTCCACTGTCTAACCGGGTAAGGACACCACACACACACACTGACAAATACAAAGCTTGTTTCTTGTTGTGTTGCTTTGCTAACAAAAGGCTTTTATATGCATGCTATGTGCTTAGTTACTGCTGCAGAATCACGATGCATAGCAACCACTGGCTGCATGTGTGGCTGCACATGGGGCATTCAATCTACATAAAGGTCAAATAAAGCAATAATGTTACCTTGCTAGTTTTCTACTCGCATGGTAGCTTGATGGGGGAGTCAAATACCACACAAATACATCCGGTTTTAAAATAATTACTATGGGTAAAGAGCTTTTATTTTTGTGGGTAGATCTGTTTACTTCCGGTGCTGCTAAATCCTGACTTTATTTAATTTCTTTTTACCTTCCAAATATGTTTTTGCATACCTTATTGTGTGTTGTTGGCCCCTAACCTTGCAAAAATATGTTTTGCATATGTTGTTTATCTTCTACTGCTGATATATCTTTATTGTTCTTTATTTGTATTATATTTACCTCTAATTCATGTGCAATGTCTTATCTATGCTGCTGAGATGAAAACAATCCAACATTGGGATCAATTAACTATCTTATCTTAATATATCACTGATAAAGTGAATTTAAAACTCATTAGATCAAACGGTGATGCCTTAAGGTGATTTTAGTTGAATATGACCTGTTGTTAATATGTAGTAATGTTGTTCTAAGCATTATAGCTATTATAACTAACATAATTAATCACAAAAATGAGCTTTGCACACAATATATGACATGCACATCCTGTTCTCTACCTGACCACTGTTGTTCTGGGATGTTGTTACAGTTTTAGACATAATGAATATGTGGGGTTGACACTTATAGGGAGGCTTGACAGCAGCAGGTGAGGCAACACAGAGAAGATGCTGTAACTGCGGGCAGCTGAGACGGCAAACTTTGACCGCCTTTGTCCACTACTGCGTCACCCATCCTCTCATCATGCTATTCCTGTCAGCTAATAGGCAGCAGGGGACGGCTCCTCAATATTATTATGTAACATGTTTACTGATTATAAAAGACCCCCATCACCCCAGCCACAAACCGTTCAGTGTGCTGCCGTTTGGCAGGCGTTACCCCAGCATCCGGACAAAAACAACCAGATTCAGAGACAGCTTCATCCCGCAGGCGATAAGACTGTTAAACAACTGAACTGCTGAAACAATTTCACAACATTCATCTGCTTAGTAATTATTTATCTATTATCTAATATATCATTCCAATAGCTTGTATATAGACTCGTATGGCACTATTCCACTTTCTCTAGAACCATTTTTCTTTTTTGTATTACTTTTAATATAATATACTTTAATATTGTTTTAATATTGTCTGCTTATCTGTATTATTGTGTTGCATTGTTGGAGAAGCCTGTGACCTAAGATTTTCAACGACATCATTACTTTGTAGCTATGTTAGTTTGACAATAAAGAACCTTGAACATCAGCATCAATACTGAAAACAATATTGCATTTGTACATGTTATCAAGGCAAGGCGCGGCAAGGCGCGACAAGGCGCGACAAGGCGCGGCACATGGCGCGGCAAGGCGCGGCACATGGCACGTGCCACGTAATTCTACTGTAATTCCAATTACTTGTATATACAGTAGACTCTCCTTACACTATTTTAACTATTTTATCTGTTTTATTGTGTTGCATTGTTGGAGGAGCCTGTGACCTATTTTCATTGACATAACTACACTATAGCTATGCACACATGACAATAACAGCCTTGAATTGAATCTTGGATCTATTTTCTCTTTTTCTCCAGCCCAAAATCTGTCGGCTGAATGAACGAGTGCCGAGAAACTGATGAGGATATACAAATGGAAATGGACGATAATGGCCTGCAGACCCCTCGCTGTGAAACAAGATGGTCACAGCAACTGTCAGGCCTCCCTCCCAAGCTCCTGCAGCGTCTGATGCCTTTCCAATTGGAAGGAGTGGAGTTCGCTTTATCTAAGAATGGACGGTAAGCAGTCAATTTGTATAGTATATAATTTTCTATGTGGGGATTTATGAGGTTTCATTAATCCATAGCTATCCCCTATTGCACCGACACCTCATTCAACCCCAAAACATATAACTTTTGTGTAATATCATTAATAACATGACAAGCGAAAACATTGATTTGACGTCTAAATGTGGACCCAAAGACGTCTGTTGTTAATTTGTAAGGGACAGTGTAATCCCCCCTTTGAACTTATACCATCTTATGTTTGTGTAACTATTAAGATATTGATATAAAGATGCTTTCACCTTGTAAAAAAGCAGCTTTTCTTTACTCAGGAGCTTCACAGCAATTACAGAAAGAGGCAAGGTGTTTGTCACGGATATGTTTACAGCACATTTTTTCCCATTAGTCATTTAGTCAAATGTTATGGTATGATTGCATGGATAATATGCTTCATTGAGCGTTAAAGTGAGCCGTCCTAATTGACCTATATAGCAGGAAAGTGCTGATTTCAGTCCCATATTGATGGCTAAAAAGTCAAGAATATATTATGTAACAAGGTCACATAGGGTCCATGTTTTATCTTTGAAAACAATCCCAAGTCCATGTAGAGTTTACTCGGCTGCCCTTATGTCCGTAAGTGTTTGGCAGGACTTCCTCCTCCTCTCGACCAGTCGATTTACAGGAAGGTCAGCGCAGGGGGAGACAATCTGAGCGCGGCCGAAGTGATGCAGAGCGGCCATATTGATTCAGAAAACACTGGGAGGCGATGCTTTGTTACACTGGCGGGTCAGGAGTCAATTGGCTCTGGCTGCACGGTGCAGAAAGCTACCTCGGTCCATTGGCATCATTGTGACAGGAAGGGCTTCTCTCTGGAGACGAGAACAAGTGACATTAGCTCAAGATATTACACTTAAAGGCAGCCTGCTTTACTCTCAATCTCAATCTTTATTTGTTTGTATAGCACACAAACAACCTCAGTGTGCTGTACAGGGAACACATACAATATGAAATAACACTAATAAAACAATAATTAAAGGTCCCATGTCATGCTGTTCCTGTTATCACCCGTCCCCTTGTTGTTATGAAGGTTGTTCTGCATGTAAACGGTCTGCAGTCACAAACCCTCAAAGTGCACCCTGTAGCGAGTAAAACTCTAACACAGAGAAGACCTGTCTGTGCTGCCCCAGAACGCCTCGTTGGAGATTTCTCTTTCTTCCATTGTTTGCTTCCTGGGTTCTGTGACGTGTGAACTCCCAGATCAACAACTAATGACCGGATTGGCTCAAATGGACCAATCCTTGGAGCACCTCCCACACCAGGGTCCCTTGGCTAACTAACAGGGAGTCCCATTGACTTGCATAGAGCTCCCTGAACGCTGGTAATAGCCGAGTTGGGATGGTGGAGGAATGCTCTCCGCAGCAGACCCATTCTCACAGCGTTATAAACCTTTTTCTTTCTCAATATCAAGCCACACTTATTGTTTTTACTTCGGCTGTGAGTGTTTGTGTGCTCAGGATGAGTTTCGCTTGTTCTCGCTGTATCGCCGACCCGGAAACCTGTCCGCTCCTCGCAGCAGCAACGAGCCTCACAACGTCCCGACCAATCAGAGCACACTGGGCTCACAGGGAGGGGGGGGGCAGGAGCTCCAACAAGCCGTGTAGGACAGAGAGTGAATACACAGACTATACAGACATGCTATGAGAAACCAATGTGAGTTTGGAACATTGCACAATTTAAATGTATTCTAGTCGACCTGAACAACGGAGATATGATCAGTAGAAATGACCATGACATGGGACCTTTAAACATATGATAAAATGCACAATAACTAGAAACATATAACAACATATACAAATGTCAAAATGTTATTCTCAACTAGTATTAAAAGCCAGGTGAGTTTTGAGCTGAGATTTACTACAATATAGATTACATTCTGTATGCCTACACAAGCATAGGTGTTGCTCAGGTGTTGATAGGCAGCTATAATAAGCTTTAGGATATGATTGGACGATAGCTGCTTGTGGGAGGACTTTGTTTTGCTCTTCTATTCATATCATATTTGCTACAGTAGGTTTCCAATTATATGTGTCTCCTTTAAATCCATTGTGTCCTTCATTGGTAATAAGACATGGAGCCATTTTAGGAAGCCACCTCCTCCACATCCAGGTTGCTACACATAATAAAAGTAGTATAGTGAGATGATAATACAGTGACTAAGAAGCGTTTTAAACCCGCTGTGTGCCGCACTCACACACAGGCAGACGGTAACGATGATAACGAGCTAAAAATTGTTTTTTTATTGACAGTAATCTCCATCTTTTGATGTATCCGACACACCCTGCTGTTCTTTATTTGTTCGTTTAATCTCCTCGGAAAGAGAGGAGAATTAAAGCGCCAGTGTCTTTTTCTGATGCTCAACAGAGACCAGATGTAGCTGCAGGCTTGCTGGATTACTTTAGGAAGGAATGTAGCAATTCCCACAAATGTCTAATACCTGAAGTGGAACTACACAAACTGACAGACAGAACAAGATGTCAGCCCTTCATTATGATATAACTCCTGTAATGCACTGAGCTGCGTACATTGATGTCTGATATCTAACGGTGTGGGAGGATTTTTCCTTTTAAATCTCACATTGGTTGTGTCTTTCCGCATCATCAAGAGCATCGAACCGAATGCCTCAAATGTTGTTGCAATTGAAATACTTATGGGGCCCGCTGTATGGGACTGTGTGGGAGGGTGAGTGACTTTTATGAGGGATAATGTGGGGAGGTTGTGGCACAGTGCGACAATAAAACCCCCTGAGATGTGGTTTATTGCATTGTTAGGAAAGTTGAGCAAAAGTGTGCCCTTCGGGTGCTGACATCTGCACATATTCAGCTTTTCTAACCCGTGTTACATCGATACAACGCTCTACTCCATCCATTAGGACCTCTTGGTCGCTTTCATTAAGGTGTTGACTGCTTGATGCACTCTATATCCGCCTCGCTCTGATTTGTCCAAAGTCTTATTGTTAGTGACTGCCTGTGCTTTTATTAAATAAGGCCGGGTGTGCTGTTGTGGGAGGAGATCAATAAGCCGGCTGTGTTGTCCTTCCAGAGATGGACTTAGCTATCTGCGCACACACAAGATGATTTATTTATTCCACATGTGTAGTCGTCCATAAGTGTAGGTCATAATAAAGAGACTGTACACAGAGTGCTTCCATTAAATCATCGGGCGATTCTGCAGTGCACAGTTACAGTACTGGGAGTTCAATTCATCTTATTTCTGTAGACCAACCTTTAACGCCAATGGTGCATTCACTTGCTCCTCAGATGGTGCCGTTTACAGAGATGGGAAGTCATTGTGGACATTCAGTCTTAATGTGGAAACGACATGGAAGCTAGAGAGTATCCAGATGCTTAGAGCAATCAACACTGCATTTACTTTCACGTTGTTTTGGGGTGATATGACCTAGGATCAGTAGCTTTTTGATAATGTTTCCGACGGACGGACTAACTTAGCTCAAAACGTGCAATTAACAACTTCAAATAACCACGGGTTCTTGTGGGAAACTGTGCACTTGTAGGACCAGCAAGAAGCTGAGGAGATCATGTAGAGTTTGAAGGCCCTTTAACAGAATATTTGCTATCAGTTACAGCAAATTCATTTCTCATTTTTTTAACATTAGATTTAAAAAAGCCAATGTTAATTCAGATCTAGGAAAAAAGAAGATATAATCAGTGCTCTAGTTGATAATTGGTCCATATATTTAGGCTAGAAAAACAAAATCAACTGAACCTCAAGACCATTCATAAAAGAGATCAAATAATACTTAAAAAATAGACATTTTAAATGCAGAAAAAAGCGTTAAAGTCAATCAATCAATCAATGTTTATTTATATAGCCCAATATCACAAATGTTACATTTGTCTCAGTGGACTTCACAGATTGTACAGAATATCAGTATGACAATACGACACCCTCTGTCCTCAGACCCTCTGTCCTCAGACCCTCTGTTGTTAGACCCTCTGTCCTTAGACCCTCTGTCCTTAGACCCTCTGTCCTTAGACCCTCTGTCCTTAGACCCTCTGTCCTCAGACCCTCTGTCCTCAGACCCTCTGTCCTCAGACCCTCTGTCCTTAGACCCTCTGTCCTCAGACCCTCTGTCCTCAGACCCTCTGTCCTCAGACCCTCTGTCCTCAGACCCTCTGTCCTTAGACCCTCTGTCCTCAGACCCTCTGTCCTCAGACCCTCTGTCCTCATACCCTCTGTCCTTAGACCCTCTGTCCTTAGACCCTCTGTCCTCAGACCCTCTGTCCTTAGACCCTCTGTCCTCAGACCCTCTGTCCTTAGACCCTCTGTCATTAGACCCTCACATCGTACAAGGAAACACTTCCAGAGAAAACCCACAGTTTAAAGGGAACATGGGAGAAACCTCAGGGAGAGCAACAGAGGAGGGATCCCTCTCCCAGGACGGACAGACGTGCAATAGATGCCGTGTGTAAATTGAAGAGATAATACATTTGCAACATAGGTAGTCCAAATGTTTGGAAATGCATGTGTGTATAATAGGAAGATGAATCCACGAGGATATCCATCCAGGACCTATGATCCAGGACCACAGCCACGACTCAAGATCCAGGACAGAGGAGCGCAGGATCATCCATGACTCCGGATCCCGGCGTATACAGACACCAGAAAGAAAGACATTTGGGGAAGCTGGGTGTGATGATAAAGCATAGTTAGATGGTCTCAGGAAAAGCAGCATTTTAAAGTGACACTCGCTATTGAAAAATCTTCCATCTCATGCTTGCAGAAGAATCAAATCAAGTCAAGTTTTATTTATATAGCACATTTAAAAGCGATTTTTGGTCGAGCCAAAGTGCTGTCCAGTACATGTAATAAAAACACATTACTGCGAGAAAAGCCCAAACCCTTTTCCCTCTAAAGGCAACTTTGTTTTGATTTCAAGTTCATTCTCCAAATACAGCAGCACTGCTCTCTGAACCCAGAGATGTGTGTGAGCACGGCGAGGTGTGTGTGTGTGTTTGAGCACTGTAAAAGCATTTCTGCAGCTCTTTTGTGCAGCGCTCCCTCCAAACCACGGCACACTTCAGGTCCAGTCCTCCGAAGAGAACCTGGAAGATTGGGGTTAGACACCGGGCCACACAACACATCACTGTGCCGAGGTCAAACCCATCAAATCATCGCTAGGCGGGGGTTTGGGGGGGGGGGGGGGTTGTTTGGAGCCCATTTCCTGACACTTTGGGGCTTGTGGGTTTCAGAGATAACATTAGAAAGATGGGGCCGTGCCGTCGTCAGGCAACAGCTCTGCAGCATCCTCGCAGTCTCAAACCGTCAAGACGACACTCAGGTTATTTAAAGGAGGATGATTAATGTGTTGGGAAATGGCAAGCACCTGCCCCAGTGTGGGTGTGTGTGGGTGTATGCGCATGCACAAATATGTGTGTGTGTGTGTGTACACGTGTTTGGCTTTGTTTGCATATCTTTTGTGTGCATTTTCACACACATACTGTCCTGCTCGTGTGTGTGTGTGTGTGTGTGTGTGTGTGTGTGTGTGTGTGTGTGGTGTGTGTGTGTGTGTGTGTGTGTGTGTGTGTGTGTGTGTGTGTGTGTGTGTGTGTGTGTGTGTGTGTGTGTGTGTGTGTGTGTGTGGTGTGTGTGTGTGTGTGTGTGTGTGTGTGTGTGTGTGTGTGGTGTGTGTGTGTGTGTGTGTGTGTGTGTGTGTGTGTGTGTGTGTGTGTGTGTGTGTGTGTGTGTGTGTGTGTGTGTGTGTGTGTGTGTGTGTGTGTGTGTGTGTGTGTGTGTGTGTGTGTGTGTGTGTGTGTGTGTGTGTGTGTGTGTGTGTGTGTGTGTGTGTGTGTGTGTGTGTGTGTGTGTGTGTGTGTGTGTGTGTGTGTGTGTGTGTGTGTGTGTATTGCGCTGACTGGGCCGCTGTGCTGGCAATTAGAAAAACCACCAGTGGCAAGGTGCACATTAATCATGTTCCTCAGCTGAAAGAGAGAAATGGGGCGGAGATGGGGGGAAGAGGAGGAGGAGGAAGAGGAGGAGGAGGAAGAGGAAGAATAATGAGCGGCTGTGTCTGAGGTATTCAGAGCCGGGCGCTCGCACTGTTTGCTCTGACATGGCGTTGGAAGCATTTATGAATAAGCAAGGTCATGACAATAGGCCCAAATCCACCGGGCGGAGAGAAGCAGGTTTATCAAGGTTTACTTTCTCCGCGGGGACGACTTCAGCTAAGGAGTGTGACACACTTTCATTGTTCCTCCATCATGTACAGTGTCGTGTGGGGACTAGTGGGCTGTTATACGGTTGCCAGAGAACCATATCAGAGACAGCCACACAAGTGAGGCTATTCCCAGTTTAAGGCTCAGTAAACTCTTAAAAATGGGAAATAAAAGGAGAGTCAGGATTAACAAAGCAGATTTGGTCAAAAGTGGGAGGGACATTTGTATAGACTAAATGGTTTAATGGTTAATTGATAGAATATCTAATTGAGAATTAAAATATTTGTCCGATCTAGCCTGGATCCTAATGTTTAAACTTTGATTATTGTGTGGCAACTCAACAACCCGTGATTCAAAACAAATTACTTTTTGTCACGTGTCCTTTCTTTTCCTGTGAAATCCGATGAACCCAAACACACTCTCCGAAGACACAGGCATTTCCAATAAGCAGCACAACAACAACATAAATATTGAATAGCAACAGCACTTGTCAAACTGAGACAAAGCACCAGTGCAGACGTATATTACAAGTGACAGATCTGTAATATGTCCGAGAGCAGAGTGTGTGTGAGGTGACTGTGTGTGTGTCGTCTGCGGCCACAGAGGTTTGAGAGGAAAAGCTGTTCTAGTATGAATCCTCGGAAAAGCAGGAATTACAGGACAAGGAAGACAATGAAATCCTCTCTAATGACTGATGCCCTTGAGCAAAGCCCCTTTGTATATGTAATCTACTTCTTTATATAACAACCAGGGCAGCTCTGACAAAGTTTTCTTTTGTTTTACAGATGCATGATCGCTGATGAGGTAAGCACACACAACGCTGGCTCAGGAAATCTATTTCTCCCCCCAAAAAATGACTTCGCTGCATGCCGTCCAAATTAATTTGTCAGCCCAGCGCAGCACTCCCACCTGCCTAATCGCTTTTGACACGAGAATCATTCTGAGACCTTATTACTCTTGGGCCGCACATCAGCCCCAGCCGTCATGTGTGATTTACCGCAGAGCCGCTGCAGAATTGACCTGTTTTTCTTTCCCCTTCGCTGGGTGCTGTGTCCAGATGGGTCTTGGGAAGACGGTGCAAGCCATTGCTGTTGCGTACGCCTACAGGAAGGAGTGGCCCCTGCTGGTGGTGGTGCCCTCGTCCCTGAAGTATCCGTGGATCGAGGAGCTGGAGAGGTGGATCCCCGAGCTGCAGCCTGGAGACATCAACCTGGTGGAGAACAAGAGCCACACCATGTAGGTCACAGCGTCCCAATAGGATATGATATTGCTTCTTTGGACAGGGATCAGATATCACAAGGTCTGCCGCAATACAACTCCATTCAATCTAGAGGCCTGCGATCGATATGAGACGATATCATATCACTTACATCTATATCCACTCACTTTCACCATTTCATTACAGGGCTCTTTCAGAAGTAAACGTTCCTGATGATGTGATCTATCCTTGTTTTAGCTTTGCATCCAGATTATTGGATCTTTTTTTATTGAATCTATCCCGATCAATATGTCATTACGCACCTAGCAGGTCGTCTCCTTTCACATCCCTTCAAACAACCTTAGCCAGGTTAAACAAACAAATAATAAGGTGTAGTTAAATCTGCATTAAGTGTTTGTTGGCCTATAATCAATCCAATAATCACTAAATGTTTTGCTCCATTTCGAAAAAAACAACCCTTTACTTTATCATACAGACTTTGTGGTAGTTTGGTTTAAAAGAATCAGTGTTTTGCTAGAATATATATATATAATGGATTGTCTGATTCACACGCACGATTCATTTCCAATCAGCAACCTCATTTTTATACTTGACATTGGTTTTGGGGAACAGTTTAATATCGGCAACATGAGGAAGTCTTACCGCTGTCAAACTTTTTATGAGGTCAAAAAGTTAAACCTTGAGGGAAATATGCTGAATTTAATACGCATAGTGGTAAAAAATAGCTGTATTTATTACTTACTTTGGTTAAAGGTCACATCTATAATATTTCTTTAAATGCATTACTTTTAAATATTATTTAAATCACTGAAATGAAATTTTAATTTGTAAGTACGTCCATATTTGTTGTCCAAGAAAAATACATCACAATTAAAACAGCAAAGGTTAGAAGGACATATTAAAGAAATGTATATAAAAGTATTATATCAGGTGGCACAACAGTATATTTTAATAATTAATTTAAGGTACATTTCTTCATGTTATGGCGCAGATATGGACACATTTGCAGATTCAGACCCACAGATTTTAAACGCTCATAGAATATTTAAACCACGTACATAATCCTGTGGATCGTGTTCATCGTTCATAGCAAGTGAAACATCATTTGGACTAAAGTGGAAGTTGTGGCAGTGTCCGTCTTCTTCTTCTTCTTCGCATGCAGTAATAATTGACCTAAAGAGAAGGAATAGACACGTAAACACGCTCTGTGATGGACAGAGAAGTTTTGCCTGACAATTTAATCTGAAAGTGTCCCCGGGTGTCAGGAGTCAGCGGGCCGATGTTTGACAGCGCTGACAGACAAATCATGTCAACGCAGCGTCGGCAATATTGCTGGAGGAATGTTTTGTGTAAAAAATGCTGTGGTAGAGAAAAGCGTCTCATATTCACAGCTGTTTGTATTGATTCAGCGCCGTCACAATGTATAAACCACTTCTTTATCAGTTCAACTTTCCCCCAGTTTCGTCCTAGTTGTATTTTTGAATGAAACTTTTCTCTATCTGTGACATGGAGGGAAAAAAACTCCTCAGCACCTCACATCACAGAGAGAGGTTGTGAATGCCTTCTGGGGGAAATGTGTCCTTGAACCGGGATGTGTTAATGACTGAACAGGGAGGCAAGGAAAAAAATTATGCAGCGCGTCCTCTCAGTATTTTGACTCGCTCCTTCTTTTGTAGAACATGAATGGCACCTTATTTCAGCTCGGGAAAGTGTGTGTGTGGTGAAGGCGATGAATTAAAATCGCGACAGAGAGTTTTTGATTTCTCCAGAGTTTCATGCTTGCTCGTTTGTTTATCCGCGACTCTGTAGCTGTGTGTTTGTGTTAAGACGAAAAAGCGGAAAATGCAATACAGCTAAGGAATGCATTTCTTAAGCAGGAGAGAAGGGATATCATCAAAAACAAAAATACCTGCAGCCCTAGTTTGTGCCTGGCAGTGTCCGTCTGTGTTTTCCTTTGTGTGCCTTTTACATTATCAAGTCCACACACCAGAAGTCAATAAAACACAAGAATATTTGAACAGATGTTGTATTTACTCCTAGCTGTTAACACACATTTGTCAGTGTGAAAGGTGGAAGAACTACAGTGGCAGTTCAAAGGATGAGGTTGCCTTGTATCTGCATGGTGTGATACGGTGTGTGTTAACACCTGATTCATATTTTTCGGCATTGAGCTTCACTGTCGTCCCACATATATCAAAAAGTCGTCAATAAGCCACACGTTTTTCATTACAATGATGTCGTTTATTTGGATTTAATCTCAAATATGCCATCCTGCCATAAATGCTCTCGAACCAAATGTGCATTTATCCGTGGTTGAAAGTAGTCCCGAAAAAATGTGCTATTAGCTCCATAGTGCCATCTGTTACATGAATGTGCTGAGCTTTAAAAAAAATCTATTTCTGAAATGTTATACTGTTATTGGACGAAGATAATCAACACACAATGAAAGTAATAAAGTTAACAGATAGCATAATGTTTGTGGTTAGGATTTTTCCTATATGACCCGATTTGATTGCTGTTTCCTTAATGGTCTCCTATTATACTGTGTTTCATCAATGTATCACAGGTCTCAGATATATACAGATCCTGTCTCTGATTGGCTGAAACACCAAACAGATCATTGCAGCATTACCCATAATCCCCTCTGTTTCAGCACTGTTTCCAAAGTGCTGATTTTCTGTCTGTTACTTTAGATGAAAATAAGGAGCCCCTCCCCACGCCCCTCTGAGAGACATTTGGTTACAAAGAACTCAATGGTGCTCTAGGAGGAGATTCAGGTGATAAGGGGGGGGGGGGGGGGGTTACCTTGGTTGCTGATTAGCTAATGGTTACACAAGACAAAACATCGTTATGACATCACAAAGTGGCCAAAATCTGATCAGCTCATTTTCAGACAGGTTTTTATAGAAATGGATCAAAAAGAGAGAGAATCTTTGTTCCTGAAACTTTCAGAGTCTCTTTCCACAGAGGGGACACATGTTGATGTAGAAGAGACATGAAGAAGAGGGGACACATGTTGATGTAGAAGAGACATGAGAAGAGGGGGACACATGTGATGTAAGAGCATGTTGATGTAGAAGAGACATGAAGAAGAGGGGGACACATGTTGATGTAGAAGAGACATGGAGAAGAGGGGACACATGTTGATGTAGAAGAGACATGGAAGAAGAGGGGACACATGTTGATGTAGAAGAGACATGAGGAAGAGGGGACACATGTTGATGTAGAAGAGACATGAGAAGAGGGGACACATGTTGATGTAGAAGAGACATGAGAAGAGGGACACATGTTGATGTAGAAGAGACATGAAGAAGAGGGGACAACATGTTGATGTAGAAGAGACTATGAAGAAGAGGGGACACATGTTGATGTAGAAGAGACATGAAGAAGAGGGGACACATGTTGATGTAGAAGAGACATGAAGAAGAGGGGACACATGTTGATAGAAGAGACATGAAGAAGAGGGGACACATGTTGATGTAGAAGAGACATGAAGAAGAGGGGAACACATGTTGATGTAGAAGAGACATGAAGAAGAGGGGACACATGTTGATGTAGAAGAGACATGAGGAAGAGGGGACACATGTTGATGTAGAAGAGACATGAAGAAGTGGATTTTGCATAATAGGTGACCTTTCATGTGTTCCTGCAGGGGCATCAGCAGCAGCAAGGTGACGGTGCTGGGTTACGGCCTCCTTACTACAGATGCTCGCCCCCTGGTGGAGGCTCTGAACCGGCAGAAGTTCGCCGTGGTCGTGGTGGACGAGTCGCATTACCTCAAGTCCAGGAACGCAGCGCGAACAAAGATCCTGGCGCCTCTCATCCAGAGCACCAAGCGGGCCATCCTGCTCACTGGGACTCCTGCTCTGGGTCGACCTGAGGAGGTAAGACCATCTGATTAAAGGACAATTGACAGGTGTCTCATGGGAAATGCCTGTTATGCAGATGTGGGAAGTAGTGGAGTACAAATACTTCCTTACTGTACTTAAGTACATGTTTCTGGTATCAGTACTTTACTCCACGACGACTTTTTACTTTGACTTCTCACATGTTGAACACAAATACCTGTACTTTCTACTTCTTACATGTTGAACTCAAATACCTGTACTTTCTACTTCTTACATGTTGAACACAAATACCTGTACTTTCTACTTCTCACATGTTGAACTCAAATACCTGTACTTTCTACTTCTTACATGTTGAACTCAAATACCTGTACTTTCTACTTCTTACATGTTGAACTCAAATACCTGTACTTTCTACTTCTTACATGTTGAACTCAAATAGCTGTACTTTCTACTTCTCACATGTTGAACTCAAATACCTGTACTTTCTACTTCTTACATGTTGAACTCAAATACCTGTACTTTCTACTTCTTACATGTTGAACTCAAATACCTGTACTTTCTACTTCTTACATGTTGAACTCAAATACCTGTACTTTCTACTTCTTACATGTTGAACCCAAATACCTGTACTTTCTACTTCTTACATGTTGAACTCAAATACCTGTACTTTCTACTTCTCTCATTTTCCAAACAGCTGGTTCCTTTAGTCTGAATGTGTGTTTGATGCGTGATCATTATTCTTTAGAGTCATTGCGTGCCTATTGATTTGAACACGATCCGTGTATCCATCATTTCCTGGTCTTCTCTAAAGAAGAGGGACCAATGGAAATGTTGTCATGTTGCCGTTGTTCAGCATGGAAACATTCATTAGCTAACAATGACATTATTGTTCTATTAATATAAAGGGAGGTCAGGTACTCTTTAAAGCAGCTGCTAGTTATGGGTACTTTCTACTGAAGTACATTTCAAAGTTCTTTACTTTGACTTGAGTAAAGAAGTTTAGTCAGTACTTCTACTTTTACACGAGTATCTGTACTTCTACTTGATTAAAGGATGTGTTTACTTTTGCCATCTCTGCTGTTATGATGAATAATACATATTTAGAAGCTGCTTTCCTTCCCTACAACATGAACTTAGCTTTGAATTTCTGAACAGGAAGGAGCAATTCGGACAAATATACATAAGAAACCACATGCAGCAGATTAGAAGAATACTTCAAAAGGTGGTTCTGAGCCCACGCTGGTGAAGAAACATTATTAAGCTTCTCACGAAGGTGTTTTACATCACAGCACAGGTAGATCGCCATGGTAACTTGCATCATTGCAGGTTACACTCTGATCCAACATATAAAAAAGCCAATTAACTCTCCCCGGCATCACTTATCCTCCAGAATCCCGTGGACTTATTTCAATAACCTTTGTTGCAAAAACTTGATTTACAAAACCCGGCATGAACAGACACTGCACTGCAATAAATGAGACGAGTAATAAAAAGAGGCGCGCAGGGGAGGGGTGACTATTGAATTTAGAGACAATAAGAAGGGCTGTTCACAGGACAACAGTGTTTGGAGAGCGCCGGAGCCAATCCCCTCTCCATAATGATTTATGATATCATTTTTATATATGATACATCCAAGCAGTAGATTGCAGCCGTATTCCATCACTGCAGAAGATGAAGTGGACTCTGGGAATAGAAAATCTTTTCACAGAAACAATGCAGTATCAATAAGACGCTGCATGTCCACTGTACTGTAACGATAAGGCACTGACACAGCTCTGGCTTTCACACCTACTTTCTCACAGGAGTTGCAATACATTCGTAATGGTCATAAGATCATTAGAGTGGCTGTAGTTAATGATACCATAACATATTTTCTCCCAATTGATTTTCATATTAACAACACATATTGTTTATTTGCCTCTCTGGTCGGCAGTAATGCAGTGTACAAATATAGGGCTTTTATTGTGAAAGGTTAACACACTTTTAAAGGCTAATAGGGTACCAACCTTAATACTGATGCTGTCAATATTCAAAAGCCATTACATTCTGCATTCAACATTTACTTCACAATGAGAAATGTATATCAAAATGTTAAGTATTGCCACTTTAAATAATCTTAGATCACAATCTGGTACAGATAAGGTTAAGATCTATACAATATAGTCTGGTTTAAAACCGTGAAGAGCCTTAACAAATAATAGTTACATTGGATTGGGAGCCAACGTAATGCTAAATGTGGTTTGATTTGGTTACATTACTACAGATTCTTTCTTTATGTAAAGGCACTTTTTAATTATAATCTGATAACCAACTACTTTACTAGTCTGGCATCATAGGTTTTGTTTTGACTACATTTAAGTATCTCAGCGAGACAAGACTCAGAAACCCTCTGTCATCTATCTGCCACCTTGCTGCGAGGAAAACTTAATTATTGCCTCGGCTCGATCGTGATAATTACATGATGAGATTCAGGCAGCTAATTAATTCCAAAATAGAAACGAAAGATGTACTTATAAGAAATCTCGAGAAGGTGTTTCATGGAGACAGTGCGTCTCCGTGTGTGTGTGTGTTATATACTGCGCATATGTGTATGTGACACATGCCATCCTGTCTTTGCCATAGCCTGCCCGCATTGGAGGTTAGTTTTTTAGATATCATCTCTCTCTCTGCTGCCACTAGAATCTGAAACTGAATATAACATTTTATCATCCGCAGCATAAACCTGATAAGCCCTATTCCTGCCTGTGTGCCACTCTCCTCACTGCCATCATTACTTACTGTGGCTCTGACATAGAGTTAGCACACAGCTCAGGGCATGCTGCACCGCTCATGATGTGCCCTCATTTCCACCCACCTATTATATCAACAGTGTGAGGGGGGAAATGCAAAGTTCCTGTTGAACAAGCGCTGAATCTGGAATAGTGCTCTCACTGTGGCAGCTTGTTCAGATCACCTGGATGATGATTACCTGTCATTACTTTATAAATTGCTGCAAATACTGAACATTTACAGGGATATGGTGTGTACACACAGACAGTGCTTTTGTGCATCCTGTTATGCATACACACACACACACTGTCTACCCACTGTATGAAAAAGGCTCTTCAAAATGCCATATGTCCACTTGAGACAGCATCTTGTCATTCTTTATGATGCAAAGATGTTTAGATGACTCAATGTCCATGTCAGCAGTGATATAGCAGGAGGAGGTGGATTTTTATTTATCCATTTTTAATTACATTTTCAAATCAGTTTAATTTCCTGGCTGCACAGCTGTTTGACCTGGTGAATTGGCACTGACACAGTTGCACAACACACAGGACTGTTAAACTAGGCTAAGGACAAGGGTATGGCGGTATTATTTGCCTCTATCCTGAACAATCTTGAGCACACAATGAAACATTTTGTGGATAGAAAATTGTATTGAGCTCGCAATGGAACATTTTTGAGCAAAGAAAAATACATTTTGCAAGCACATCAATTATATTTTGAAGAGAAATTGACTTGACTTGAAGATTCCTTGCGTGCTCAATATTTTTTTCTGTGCTCAAAATGTTTCATTGCGTGCTCAAGATAGAGGCACAATAATAACTCCATACAAAGTGGACCTTGAATAAATTGCACACAAGATGCACATCAGTAGAGTAATCTTGGTCTGTGTATTCAGCCAAAGAAAGCTATTCTGAGTTAATGCATGCAATTTTCAGAAACTAAAAGGTGAGAAGTTTACTTTAATGACTTGCTAAATCTGTCAGGTTAGCTTAGCTTAGCACAACTACTGGAAACAGGGAACAGCTAGCCTAGCTGCCTCTGTCCAAAGGTAAGATATACCTTTGGACAGACATAAATAATAATAATTAAACTGGCTTTGTCAGTAATGTTAATCTGTGATGGTTATTCTCGTGTCCAGGAAAGAGAAGCTTAAAAGGAGACCAAATGGAGTCTCTGAGATGTTTTCAAATTGGTACTTTAATTAATAAAAAGCGTGGTAAAGTCACAAACAGGATATTGTCCGACAGAAAAGCAGCTGTCTCTGGCTCTCGCTAGCAGAGGGTAAAAGAGGCCGAACCCCTCAGGTCCGGTTGTTTATATATCCTCTACTGGCTCCTCCCTGCGGGCCGGCTCTCCAACGTTTTAATGTCCGTTGTTACGCATATCAGAGGATACAGACATTGTACATTAAATATATATTTAAACACGCCTTTTCTCCTCCTTAACTCTTTCATGACTTTTCATTTAACACATTCTAAACGCTGTAATCAATACTCCAAAAATACAGGAAATACTTCACAGCAGTTTGGTTTCCGGTCGTTCCGGATGTTGTCGCATGCTACCCACATCTGTAAACAATAACGTGCTCAAATAAATTACCTTCATTTAATATTCAACAATAATAATATCTCGACTTCTATAGTTGTAGTGTTGAAATCAGTAGGTTTCGGTGTGCAACATCATATCATCTCGCTGCTAAATTCACCTAGTAAATGGTATATTAGCCACATGCTAAATGGTAACCGGAGATGACGGATTTTCAGAGTAAAGCTTAACAACTGGTTGTGCACAAGCACTTCTGGTTTTTCAGTATAAAACAGCATTTAAACTGAAGGTATGTTTAAGGTACATTATGCTATCAAAACATTGATTTTAATTTCTAACAAGCATTGCATTTGCCTTTTCTAAATGTTTATCAAAGTGTGAGCATGAAGCAAGCTCATGGCTGTTACAGTACAAGAATGATAGCTACAGAATAACACATGTCTCCTCTCCTGGTCAAGTTAAGTGTGTTTACCATCGTTTAACATTTTATAATTTAATCATTGAGATAATTATCTGTGACATAAGAGGCAGTTTAACATTAGCACAAGTAAATAAGTGTCATAGAGCAAAGCTAACTTATATGCAATATTAAGCTATGTTTTGCTAGCATTAGCTACCACAGTCTATGGGACATTTCCATGGTAAATAAATGCTAAACCAAATAGTAATGGAGTAATAAAGTTAGTTTACTAATATCAGTTAAACATTTACATAAAAGAAGCTAACGTATGCAACCATAAGCTACTGGTGGCCATAACATACTTATTAAGAGTGCTGCAACAAAACCCAATGAGTACTGAATTTAGCAATGGTGCATTGTTGTTTTGTTATTTAAATCAACTTGTCAAGATCAATTATGTTATTTCTGTGTCTCATTTGAAGCCTTAAAAACCTGCTTACTTAAGTGTGTTAACATTAATTACTGTTCTATATGCTATATCAACCTTTTATTGGAAGAATGCTGTCTTTATAAAGTTATACAGTCTCATGTGAGGTGTGCTGCATGTCATATGTTTATCAATTTGTTAAAAACGAAAGGAAATAAATAGCATTATGAGAAATATATATAATAAAAACGAGACTGCAATATTATTATATATTATCTTAAGTGTGCCTGGCGTGTAATATTATAGTATTTATTGCACACATTCTCCGGTTTATTCTGACTGTATCTCTCACTCCTTTTCCGACCATGACACACACACACACACACACACACACACACACACACACACACACACACACACACACACACACACACACACACACACACACACACACACACACACACACACACACACACACACACACACACACACACCCACACACACACGCACACGCCCTGTAATGTGTGCTTTGGTACAGAGGAGCTGTTATATAATATAATAGTAATTTTCCTGTCCCTTTTATTCACAGCTTTTTATGCAGATTGATACCCTCTACCCAAAGAGGTTTGGAACATGGACCGACTTTGCCAAGAAATTCTGCAACGGCCATTACAGGTGAGACACACACACACACACACACACGCACGCGCACGCACGCACACAGCATAGCATAGCATAATGACAGCAGGAAAAGGCTATCTCTCTGTCAAAAGTTTATTAAAAAAAACACAACCAACATTGCTTAAGCTCATTAATTAAGTGTAAAATGTACAAGTAGTTGTAATGCAGGTGGAGCTGAGCAGATAACTCTCACTGAGAAAGTGTGCATATTTCCTAGAACAAATAATCCTCTTAAGTGTAAACCCTTATTTTGGTCTGTTCTTATTTATATACCCTTAATTCTTAGTTAAGTGGAATTAGCAGAGTTTCAATAGATCTCTCCCACTCTTTTCAAATGTCCGCTGGGATAAGGTGGGCTGTACCTGAGTCTGGAGCGATGGAGCTGCTGAGTTGAGGGTTTTGTTGTCAGAGCCAGATCACAACTGAATCCAAGCGTTAAATGCCAAATGGCTGCCAGTTGCCAGCGATGATCAGTTACATGTGTGAACAAACACATCAAATGCATTGTTTTGGCTGTCCATCAAAGTGGGCAGCTCGATCGGGGATGGGCCCGCCGCCATTAATGATAACACTTTGTATATAATTGCACTTATTGTGGCTGGGGAATGCCATTCTGAGCCACACACAAACGATTCAACGCACAGTAGGGCACAAGGCATTGTCATATCAGCAGAGTCTTCCTATTCTCTTCAGAATAGAGAAGTGTCAGTGGGAAATGAGAGAAAAGCAGCCTTACAGCTTGGAAGTTGCTGGTTTAAATCCTAATAGAGAACACAATTTAAGAAGGAGTTAATCAGTTCCCCTCCCTCAGCAACTACAAGTTTAAATACCAAAGTGTGAAGAAGCTCATTTTGGCAGTGGCTTGTTAAGTTGGTCCACACTTCCAGCCAATATGGCAGAAAACCAGCCTTTGTGTGGAGGGCCAGTTCTATTCTAAAAATCAGTTTGGCAGATAAATTGCGAATGTTGCCGGGGAGTTATGGGATAAAACCTGCTGCTGTGGCCATTAGACAAAATACTTTCCTGCTCTGCTAACTGCCCTAAAGCTAAAAAGTGATCCCCCGACTGCTCAGCTGCAAATGATGGGAGTCTGCTGCAGTGCCGGGCGGCTCCCAGGTGGCAATGTTTAAATGTGTTAAACTATTTATTCTGGGCATAGCCGTAAATAAGGATGTTTGCTTCTCTCTGTGTGTGTTGGGAACATACTGAATGTCCTCTTCCAATGTCAGAGTCCACATGATAACAAAGGTATCCCAACTGTAGCTGTGAACATGACAGGATGTGTGATTACCTAGAAGAGCATCAGGACTGTTTGAGGCATATGATAGCTATGTGATTAACATGAGGATTCAGCCTCTATGGAGAGAGACATCAAGCATGCTCATTTCTGACGTGAATCTGAAGTAAACATTGAATACTGCTTTCTATTCCTCCATCTTGTGACTGTGTAACTCCCTCTCTTGGATATCAGCATGTGAAGGACACTGTTCAGGAACTAGCTGATGCTCTGTATGTGATGACTACTTCCATTCTGGAGAGGATCATAAATACATGGATCCTGATATTGAAGCTCAAGCCGGTGAAGAGTGATATTTTTCTCTGTGTAAAAAATAAATGCATCAGCAGCTACAGCTTCTCCTCGCTTTCTCTCAGGTATTTCGGGGCTCGCCGGCAGTGGGACGCTCGCGGATCGTCCAACCTTTCGGAGCTTCACCAGCGCCTGAGTGAAATCATGATCCGTCGTCTAAAGGCCGAAGTTCTCACTCAGCTGCCCCCCAAAATCCGCCAGCGAATCCCCTTCGACCTGCCTAAGGACGCTGCAAAGGTCAGGCATAAATGACAGCATGTGGTCTTTAGTCAGACATTCAATTCACGCTGCTTTTAATACACTACTGATGCATGTTTCCTCATTTTCCACGGCTGCAGCTAACAATCGCTTTACAGTCTAATCATCAATTGATAAATAATTGTGTGTGTTGAATGTCAGATAATAATAAGATGCCCATGGTAATTTCCCAGAGCCCAAGGTGGCATTATCAAATGTCTGAGCTGAAATTAACAAAATGGGTCCCAAATAATTTCCTGTTGATTGACTAAAAGATGAATTGCTTCAGCTCCTAAATTGTTATTACATGCCCAGCACAAATCCAAAAGCATTATTTATTAAAACATCTCGATTAATGGAGACGCCACAGATTCACGCTGTTAGGCCAAATTAAATTCTGCCATCTCCAGGTTTGTTTCTCACCACACAGGGAGTGATTGAAGATGAAGTTGAGATGAACCCAAGGAGAAAGAAATGACATCAACTACTTGCAAAAAACTAAAATAAGTGGGGACACATTTAACGAAAAATTGTAGGTCCTGTTTGCGGAATAATTAATACAAATTGATATAATGGGTAACCTTGGTGCTAAGCTACAGATTTCAGATACAATATCAAATTATAGTGAAGAACATCCTAGTGTAGAAATACAATCAGAATAATATATTATAGTGTTAGTAATGTATATTTTAGGATTATAATTACTGATGCATTCATTTGTTAAGCACTAATATCGCAGCTAGCTCATATTGTATGACTTCATATTAAGGGTATGTCAATTCTCCCTTAAAATTTGAGCTTAACTTAAAGAAATACATCCAAACACATATATATCCGTTAATTCAATTACCTGCAGAGTAATAAGTAACTCTAGTTATCAAATAAATGTCATATAATGCTCCAAGAAGTGCAGAAGTAAGTAGTATGAACTGGAAACACGAAAGTACAGTACCTCAAAATTAATTGTACTTGAGTAAATGTACTTTTTTACTTCCGATAACTGTCATAATAATTAGCCAATTTACTAGGTTTGAGGTTTCTTCTACATTTTCTGAGTTAATTGGCGTATTTCAGCATGGCAGTATTTCAGCATGGCAGCGTATTCATTTCTGCTGTTGGGGATAATTCTCCAGCAGCCACAGGCCTCAGGGACGTGATGCCAGTTTCCATCAGGAGATCCGTCATAACAGCTGACGGTGTAACACACTGTATAATAATTTCTAGTCCTTTTCCATGACTGTCACCTCCCCCTCTGACTGCTTCCCATTTAAGCCATGGACCACTTTGCTTTTTTGCGCACACAGCTTCATGTCAACGCATTTCCTCTTCATTTCTGTTGCCGTTTTTGCTGCTTAGGTAAAAAAAAAGTTATGTATTTCACTTTGGATTTTCAACATAACCAGCATTTATGACTGTCGGTAATTTAGTCGGATCACATCAGAGTAGTTACGGGAAAAACTCGCTGTATTTTAATTCCAAAGTTGTGGAAAATACCTACTCAAGGTTCAAGGCTTTTAGTGTCATGTGCTATAGTGTAGTTATGACAATTAATAGAATAGAATAGAAATGGTGCAGAATAGTCTATATACAAGTAATTGGAATATGGATATATACAGGGCCGTCCCTCCCTACAGGCCAATCATGCAGACTTCGTGGGGCCTCATCTTGCGGAGGGTTTCTCAACTGAGCCTAAAAGCGCACCTATGCGCTTATGCGGCGCAATTAGTGTGGTTTCGCCGCTGCTCCACTAGCACCCCCGCTCGCGAAACAGAGGGCCTCATGTTGGCCAGGGACGGCCCTGGATATATATACTGGTTCTTCCCTTAAGCCTATGCAGAGATACATGCCTATGTGTGTGTGGTTTCTCTCCATCATGAAGAGGATACCAGGCTATTTGTAGAGTGAATGTTTCCTGTGTAGGTGTTTTTCATCTAGCCCCCCGAAGTTGCGGTTTCTGCCTCCCACGCCACGCTGAATGCATGTGCGCACGTGAATGTTAATGTGGCTTCGACTCGGCCTTTCGGTGCGCCGGGTCACCGGAGTCAGAGCTACGAGTGGTTTGCTTTCCCGCTGGGAGCGAACCAGCACAGAGAACAATGCGCTGCACACTTTGTTATATTTTGCTCTGTATCATAGCTCTTTCGGCGCTAATTACGCACGGAGCCACGTTTTCAGCGGTGACACAACAATGAGGAAGTTAGCTCGGAAAGTGATGATGCAAGGGGTTTTCAGAACCATAATCCTCAACTTTTAAAGGAAGCTTTAATTAGAGGCTAACTATAGTCACTGTTTCTACATCAACTCGCGTGTTTGAACAGTTGGAAAAGTTCATGTCATGTCTTGCTAGTTGGTTAAAACTGCAGCTGTGAGATAAATGACCTTCTTTTTGGGGTAAAAATACAAAAAACGAACGACCGGCTATAGCTGTTCTGCCTCGTTTCTGTTCATGAGATAAATGTGCATGACCAGGTATTTGTCCAGTGAGAAGAATAGACCCTCAGTTTCACCCTCCCATCTAAATGCACTGGTTAAAGGGAGATGTGAAGTGGCCAGTCACCCAAATCCGCAGCCATTGTGCTTCCCACATTCACGGAAATATGAACAATATAAAACATAAAAGCCTAGGTGGACATTATTTCCCTCTAAACAAACTCTCCTTTAAAGCACATTTTTGCTAACTGACGGTATACAGTGTGCACCAGGACCACTCACCAGTTCAGCCTGGCTCCTGCCGTCTCATTGTACTCCCTAATGATGGCTTTTATCTTCCACTGCAGACACTTTTTATGCCGCTCCTGCCCTTTACGTGTTAGTCTAGCGAATATCATCAAGGGTGGGAGTGTTTAGCCACTCGGGGTTTTGTTTCCCCCCCAGAAGATTATAAAGCTTGAATGTAGCATTTTTAATTAGAAATAAACATTGAGAGACAGCCTGAGTTGTTTGTGCAGGTGCTGCTGAGTGAGACATCTGAGGGAAAACATAAAGGAATCCTTCCTGCAATATGATACTATTTATTCACTCAACCATCCTTGACTTTGACAACGTTTGAATCCACAGAAATGCTAATTATCTCACTAAATAGTGTGACGCTTTCATGTTTCGCCAGAAAGCTTTCCATTGTACAAGTCGGGAGCGCACAGTGCGAAAATACCGTTGTGAAATCCTCTATCTTTACATATGTGTGTGTGCTCGCATTAATAAGGCTTCTCTCCAATTCTCACTCTTTTCCCTCCCCCTCTGCTCACTCATCAGTGTGTGTATCTTGGTGGTGTGTGTGTGTGTGTGTGTGTGTGTGTGTGTGTGTGTGTGTGTGTGTGTGTGTGTGTGTGTGTGTGTGTGTGTGTGTGTGTGTGTGTGTGTGTGTGTGTGTGTGTGTGTGTGTGTGTGTGTGTGTGTGTGTGTGTGTGTGTGTGTGTGTGTGTGTGTGTGTGTGTGTGTGTGTGTGTGTGTGTGTGTGTGTGTGTGTGTGTGTGTGTGTGTGTGTGTGTGTGTGTGTGTGTGTGTGTGTGTGTGTGTGTGTGTGTGTGTGCTTAATCACGCGCAGGCCACCTCTTCCTTCAGCTCGCCATATGGTTCACAGTTTTGCATCGTTTGATATGCAGCGCACAAATAAAGTGTTCATTCCTGTTGAATTTTTACACATTTTCTGGTGTCTGGATCTAGACAGATGCAATTGGGAGTTGTGAACTAAAGGCACACAATGAAAAAGTTTTCCTTTTTAAAAAAAATGATGTAATCCTGAAAAAGTCAAGGGGGTTCTTGTGGAGCACTCTAGATTACAGGCACCAAAGCTTTTACATGACTATAGAGAACCGCAGTGACGCGTCCTAAAACCCGGAAGTAAACTCCTTCCGGTTCCTTCGTCAAAAACGCAATGCAATTTCTCCATAGGGTTTTGGAAAATAGCTCGAAATAAGGTCTGTGGTTGAAACACATTTAAGGGACGGATCACGTTTTGTTCAGCCGGATAATCTCCACATGTCTACCCTACTTTTATAATTTTCGAATCATAAATCTAGTCGCAAAATGCTAACGTTATGCTATGAAGGAACTACAGCAGGGTCGCTGCTTCAACGTCACGCCAACTTAAGATCCAAACATACAGATTGTAAATGGAACGAGTTGAAGTGTTTGTTTGAACACTTTGCAGGAGGCAGGGACTTGCTTTCAAGCAGAACAGAAACTAACTTAGAGGAGTGTTTTACGTGTTCGGCGTAATGACGTAAAACGGCCTGGACAACTTCTGTAGTCCTATTCAGCCACTTGTTAACAACCATCGTTTTTCAGACACAGTCAACTCTTCAGAAATCACCAGCGGGGTCGCTGCTGATGGATTTAATGTCGTAGAACAAAACGTGATCTGTCTCTTCAATTTGTGTCAAACACAGACCTTATCTGGAGCTATTTTCCAAAACCCTATGGAGAAATTGCATTGCTTTTTATCGAAGGAACCGGAACTTACTTCCGGGTTTTAGGACGCGTCACTGCGGTTCTCTATTGAATTAAACCCAAGCTTTGCAATCATCCGAAACAGTACGCTGCTTTTCTTGTGCATACTGAATATTGATAACGTTACTGAAGATTGCTATCAACCACTAACTCGTATGTTTGTATGATAAACACGGCTAACAGATGTACAGCCTCTCTGCGTGTCTTCTTTATGAGCAGGAGGAAACAGTACGCTGCTTTTCTTGTCACATTTCTGCATAATGTGCGTACTAAATGTTCCCAAAGATTGCCACTAACTCTAACATGTCTGTATGATAAATATCAACGAATACACAGCCTCTCTGCGTGTCTTCTTCACGAACACGAGGAAACATATGCTGCTTTTCACCGCCTCTCCCTCTGCGATCCTCTCGTTTCTCCTCTCCCGCCTTAAATACTTCTCGCCAATCACCTTGAGAGCACGCCAGGCGTCTTTGATTTATTGTACCGGCCAGGCTGCTTCTCCATCTTCGACCCCGGCTTGTCACAAGGCGGCTATAATTGGGCGATGCTCATGACCCACCTAACACAGCAGCCCAGTCTGAGAGGGGGGTGGCATCCTGGGGAATTCTCCATCTCTCTTTTCTCTCTCTTTCTCTTCCAGGGAAAGTAGGACACCCAGCAGCTCCATTAATTGTTTTGCCCTTTATATCTCAAAAAACAGCCGAGAGAGAGATAAATAAAGGACACTGTCTTGTCTCTCCTTTGCAGGAGGCCTCAGCCAGCTTCGCAGAGTGGGAGCGATTGATGAAGGGACTGGGGTCGGGGGTCATCGGCACGGACAGCAACCCCTTCACACAGGTCATGAGCCTGGTCACACGGATGTACAAGCAAACTGCGATTGCCAAGGTAATGGGAGAGCAGGTGCTTCTGGAGTCTATCTCACTTTAACCCAGCAGTACATACACCTTTATTGGCTTCAAAGATAGTCTATATTTCTCTGAATACTACCTAAGATGCTCTATATGTTAAGATATCACATGAGAAGTGCTAACGTAGACATATTACGAAATCAAAAAAGTAGTTACAGTAGTTAGGCCTGTGTAAGCATGTGTGTATTAATCCGCGACTGAAAATAGTCCCCAACAAAGCAAACATTCCCTCCTGTTCAATTAATGTGTGCTTAAAACTACAGATCCCATTATTTACGGAAAACTGTTTGTTTTCCTTAAAGTATCTAAGTAGGAAATCAGAAAGTATCGAAAGGCGGACATGGTTGGTTTTAGTTGTTAGGTTTTTTTTAGGGCTGTCAAGTTAACGCGTTAATAACGCGTTAACGCAAAAAAAAATTAACGCCACTAATTATTTTAACGCGATTAACGCATGTGTATTTTTTGTCCTCGGCCGCCCCGTAGTTTCAGAGCGCATCGAGTTTAAAATACCATCTACAAGCTGATGCTGACAGCCCCGCTCCTGCCGCCCACTTGCGGCAGACCACACTTCCACGCTCACCGGCAGGCACCGACTGGCCATCTGGAGGACAGGGAGGGTGTGTGTGTGGCCCGAGCGAGCGAGAGAGAGACCTTACGTGCATTGTTGTTGTTAGCATCTGGTGCTAGCTAGCTGCGCTAACGGATATAAGGAGCTGTTTAAATGAAAACAGAGGAGCGACATTTCGCCACAACTGCGCCGAGCACTTGACTTTATGCAGGAAGCCAGACAGCGGGACATTGTACGAAAAGTCAGCACACTCAGCACGGATAGTGCGCAACATGATCGCAGCGTCCAGGCAGCTCCCGTTCGAGCATATGCCTTGAGTTGCACATAGCTCCAACGATCCATCACACACACACACACACACACACACACACACACACACACACACACACACACACACACACACACACACACACACACACACACACACACACACACACACACACACACACACACACACACACACACACACACACACACACCCACACACACACACACACACACACACACACACACACACACACACACACAGGTTGTTGTGTTTAATATTCATGAGAATATTTGTCATTGTTCAAATGATAATAAACATTAGCATAAAGCATGTTTGTCCACTCATATGTTGATAAGAGTATTAAAAACTTGAAAAATATTCCTCTAAGGTACATTTAGAACAGATCAAAAATGTGCGATTAATCGCGATTAACTATTTTAATCGACTGACAGCCCTAGTTTTTTTTTGTTGTAAGACAAATCAGTTTTGGTATATTTGGACTTGCTTGAGACTTAAAGACTTGGTACTGACTTAATTGTGCCGCAAAATGAAGCCAAAAATTATGAATTACCTTAAGAAAATAGTGTGTTAAATACATTTTATGTAAAGCTATCCCTTTGTAGATGTACATATCCATATCAACAGTGAGAAAACCAATGCATTCACACCATTACACCAATATCTGCATACTTTTTTATATGAGCCAACAGTTACAACATCAAACTACACACAATAGTTTAAAGAACAGTTTAAAAAGCATAAAAAATGGGAAAGAAAATGCACTTTTTATTCATATTTTAATGTTTCTGTAAATGGTGAGTTGACGGTACCGCATCATGTTCACAGCCGCTTGAGCCGACCGCTCGGTGAGACCTCAATTGGGGGAAGCATCGCCATGGTAACAGAGCCTAATGGTCGCCCAGTGAAAAGCACTTAGACAAAGTAGGGAGTTATAACCAAGGTATTACTTAGTTGCGTCCAGCTCGGCGTGATTTCACCTTATCTCAAAGTTACACACTGCAACTAAAATAGCATTTCTGTGATGCTGTTGCCGTGGAAACTCAGTCGGTTCTCAGGTTGAAGTGACGTCTTTTGTTCTGTTTTAATGAGAGAATGGGAAGGTGGTTTGATGCAAACACAGTGTGAGGAATGGTTGGGGGTCAGAGGTGTGGAGAATGTAACATTTACATTTCCTGTTTCTCAGTGGGAAGTCCTCATCAGTCTCCAGATTTCACTCTAATCTTGCTGCTCTGAAACCTGGCAGTTCCTCAATCTCTTATGTTTGTAGTTGAGTAAACATTTCCCCAAAATATAGTATCCCCCACAATCATCTGTTTTGCTCATGAGCTGGCATTCCTCTCAATTAGCCCGACGCCCTGAGCCATGAGGAGCGAGCCCCGAGGTTAACGAAGACCGGAGATAACCACCGAATGCAATCATCGACACGCTGCTCGCTCAGCCTGCCTCCAAGCCTGGATCTTTCCTGCGCTCCGCGTTGTTTGCTGATTGGATTTCTGCTCAGTTTAGCCTAACACTGGACCTCCTTTCATTACAAAGCCCCCCCCACGACCACTCAACCCACCTCAAAGCCGATACCCGGTCTCATTTCCTCTCCTATTGGTTTTAAGAGTCAGACACACTTTCTACTTCAAGATAAAAAAAACATTCTTTTTTTGGATCACCAGGAGGGGTGCAATGGTGTGATAGATTCACACATCTATGTCACTCTGACGAGCATCACGGCCTCTTCCTGCTTTGCCAGTTGGACCTGCCAAACGCCTTTGGGGTATTTTTATTTACCCGCCAAGCATCTGCTCCCAATTACCTAGAGAGGACAGCTCTGATGCTGGACTTTAAAGCGAGCTAACGGGCCGCTTCAGACAGCCGAGAAGTTTGTGCACTAATTAAACTCAGCGGAAGGAAGCCTGCGAAGCCAAGCCGTCAATAATGAGGACCCCCCAGATCAGAAAAGGGTCGGCAGGCCTGGCGGAAAGATTCATTATCAGGCACATCAGCTAATTATCAGCGAGGCAAAGCAGAGGTTCTCCCGCCAGAGCAGGTGTGATGGCAAAGAGGTTGTGCAGATTACAGGGGTGGGATTCACACCCAGGAGATAGGCCTGTCTCCAAAAAAAACATCCAGTAAAAACTCAGTATTTCTCACTAGTTGGTGCTATTCTTGGCTGCTTTATGGCCCGGGGCTCTGAAATGAGTACTGGGATGCTCAATGACATGCTCATGCGGACAGATACAGAAACCTGCAAGGCACGGCTTAACTCAGTCACACTTCTACTGCTTTCTCTTTCAGATTGTCAGCTTCACACTGTCAATCAGGGTCACAGACTTCTGCAGAAACAACAAGCAAGATTGTGACTGTGATGTTTTTTTCACCATTTGACTTCATTAATAAAACAATATTTAAGTGGGAAAAGAACAAATAACTAGAGTGAAATGCTTGAGACCTGAACTTTTAGTTATGTTGGACTGCACTCAACACTTTGACACCCTAACAAGCCTTACTTATATATTTTTAGCGGCATTTGCAAGTCCTGACAAAATCTGCTCTTGTTTGAGCTGTCCTTGAGCGGTTGTTAAAGTTTCTGATAGTTTGACATTTTGGGTGAAATAGCTCATACACTTTTTTCGCAGAAAGTTAGATGAGAAGATAAATGCTACCCAGAAGCTAGTTAGCTTAGCATAGATGCTGGAAACAAAGGGAAACTGCTAGCCTGACAAAATCCAACGACAACAACCTATTCGACTATGATATTGGTGTCAATCCTTTTGTCTAACGAATGCAAACACGCACATCATGTTTTTGTTAATTCAATAAAACAATATTAAGCTTTTGAACATTTATTACAAATTGTCGTCAAAGTGCGTTGAAAAACCGGTTAAACAGATCCATATCTGTTTTGATGCCATTTGAAATCAAAACAAGCTCTGCTTTCATGAACTTGTTGGTTCATTCTGATTCATCTGGTTGTTTTCTTGTATCTGTTTTGTCCAAAAAAACAAAGAGCTCACACTAATCATATTTCCGAGTTGCGAGGTTATTGATTTGCTCTCACTATCTGCGAGTTGACAAATGCGCCCCGGTCGCTCTGTGTTCTCTCTCTGTCTAAAGTCTGGATCCCTGGCATTCAATAGAGAATCGATCACACGGAAAGGATGCCGCGGTGATTAATTGACTTCTTCACTGATCTAGCCGATTCCTCTGTGTGTGGTGGAGCAGTGGAGTGATGGATTCAGTGTAGCTCCCTTTCATCTGTGTCTATTTCTGTGTGTGTCCAGGCGGGAGCTGTGAAGGACTACATTAAGATGATGCTGGAGGCGGAGCAGCTGAAGTTCCTGGTGTTCGCCCACCACCTCACCATGCTGCAGGCGTGCACCGAGGCCGCCATCGAAGCCAAGGTAACCTCAAGCGTGTTTTACTTTTCTTTTTCTTAAACAACACTTAAAAAACAGGTATGCAGATTGTTTTAAACCCCCCCCACCCCCCTCCCCTTATCTTTTTGTCGCTGCTTTTAATTGAAAGTGAGCCGTTGTGTTCATCAGTAAAGTGGAACTTCTGTGTGAACTATTCATATCTGTAACTTTTATTCATGTACTTTTATTCATGTATTTTTTCTTTTAATGTTTCTTTTATTATCTTTTACTGATTTGAAATGCCTTTGTCTGAATGTCTTTCATTTTTGTAAAGCACCTTGAATTGTCTTGTGTTGAAAGGTGCTATATAAATAAACTTGCCTTGCCTTCCCCTACAGACTAAGACAAGATTAATAGTACAACAACATTTTAAAGGTCCCATGTCATGGCCATTTCTACTGATCATAATTCCATCGTTGAGGTCTACTAGAATACTAATAATAGAATAGATAGATAGATCCAAACTCACATTGGTTCCTCACAGCATCTCTGTATAGTATGTGTATTCACTCTCTGTCCTAAACGGCTTGTTGGAGCTCCTGCCCCCCCCTCCCTGTGAGCCCAGTGTGCTCTGATTGGTCGGGACTGGTGTGGTTTCCGGGTCGGCGATACAGCGAAAACAAGCAAAACTCATCCTGAGCACACAAACACTCATAGCCGGAGTAAAAACAACAAGTGTGGCTTGATATTGAGTAAGAAAAAGGTTTATAACGCTGTGAGAATGGAACTGCGGAGAGCATTCCTCGTCTATTACCAACCAGGGAGCTCTATGCAAGTCAATGGGACTCCCTGTTAGTTGAAAATGTACGCTAAAGGTCCCCCCACTGTGTTTGATCGTGACGCCAAGGGATCCTGGTGTGTGAGGAGCTCCGCGGATTGGTCCAGTTTGGTTCCGGGAACCGCATGATGTAAAACGGACTTTTTATTGTAGCATTGTAATCGTGCTCGCTATCCCACGTTTATTACACGTTGATTACAGACCAATTGTCATATTGGACCAATATCAGCAAATTACTCATTTTTGCAGTACATCAGACTTTCAAGCTGAGCAAACATACAACAAAAGGGAATCATTTGAGCAATTGAAAGGGGTCAGGGTTACAAAATGTACAAATACAACCATCCACCCTCTTATCTCCGTTTTTAGTAGCAATTAGACAATTTTTCTGTTTCATTCCAGGCCGGTTACATCCGTATCGAAGCAATCAAAATCAGGTTCATTGTCAAGTAGGCATTTAGAAGCCTCATTGAAAACCAAAAAGGAAATTCAGGTCTACCTGTAATATCTTGATCTTCATATCAAAATGTATTGAAGCATTGTAATCCTGCTAGCTATCACACGTTCAAAAATGTTGGACATATTGGACC